TGCGGTTCCAGAGCTCGGCCGTGATGGCCCTGCAGGAGGCCAGCGAGGCTTACCTGGTGGGGCTGTTTGAGGACACCAACCTGTATGCCATCCACGCCAAGCGAGTCACCATCATGCCGAAAGACATCCAGCTAGCCCGCCGGATCCGCGGGGAGCGCGCCTAAACGGAGCGTGCCCGGCCCTGTACGTTAATCCCGAGAAACACAACGGCTCTTTTCAGAACCATTAATCCATTCAGAGAGAGCAGCAATAAGTAGGGACCCTTGCTTATTTTATAATACACCGATCCTTTTCTGTTGTTGCGCTCCATCGTTTCGGCTGGTATTAAATAAGTTGAATCAGGCTGAGAAGTGCATTTGTCACATTAATTTGAAGACAAAATTCAAGCAGCGGCAGCGAAGTTAGAGATTGATCGCAGAACATAACTGAATGTTCCGTGTATACATGAGATATATGATTGACAGAAAGCAGCAATCGGTAGGCGCTATTTCCTTGTTTAATGTAAACACAGTGTGCTGTTGCTGCAGTTTGTCAATGCAGCAGCAATTACAGGAACTGACTGGGTCTGGGAGATGCGCTCGTCACATTTGAAGACAAAAGTTATAAGTTGAGATTTTAGCAGTCGTCACAAAATACAATTGAAGTAGTGGACTCCGTGTATGCAAAAGCTTACAAATTCCCGGTAAAACGCCTGTGTGCCCATTGTCTCCCTTAGTGTTTCCCCAGTTATAACTAAATTTCAAAAGATCTCTCTTTTTCCCCTTCCAGTATACGCTCTTCGGAGGGTCGATTCAGACTCGAAGGGCCTCTTTCTGCTGTGGAGGCGTTCCCTGTCAGCGTATTAATAGAAACACCCCCTTTAGCTATTATTTATATGTCCCTTACTGCAAAAATCACCAAATTTACTATTCTAGTCAGACAGCTGTTCCAGAATAAGCCAAGATAAAACTAGAAGTCTTAAAAAAAAAACCAAAAATCTCATTAGAGGGCAGAGTTTTTACATTAAAAGAACTAATAGACTACTAGTGACTGTCTAGCTGCTTTTCACGGATGTTGTGGGTGGCTCTTAAAAGAGCCTTTGGATTGTCAGATGAAATAACGGTCTCTTCACTTCTTAGTGGCGCCCCCAGCGGCGGTTTTCTTGGGCAACAGCACGGCCTGGATGTTAGGCAACACCCCGCCCTGAGCGATGGTCACCCCTCCCAGCAGCTTGTTGAGTTCCTCGTCGTTGCGCACGGCCAGCTGGAGGTGCCTGGGGATGATGCGGGTCTTCTTGTTGTCCCGGGCCGCGTTACCGGCCAACTCGAGGATTTCAGCCGTCAGATACTCGAGCACCGCAGCCAGATAGACCGGCGCTCCGGCACCCACACGCTCAGCATAGTTGCCCTTTCTCAGGAGCCTGTGAACACGGCCCACCGGGAACTGCAGGCCAGCCCGGGACGACCGGGACTTCACCTTCGAGCGAGCTTTCCCACCAGCGCCCTTTTCTCTCCCAGACATGGCAACAATCTCAAAAGCATTTTCACAGCGAATGATGCAATACGCTCACATTCCGGCCTCTTATACCTTCGGGAGGAATGGTGGTGCGGCCATTGCTGATTGGTCACATTGTTCAGTATCGCCTACTATAGCTAAAATTCCCAATCAGATATCTGCTTCACTCACCAATCCGGAGAGGGCCCGGGGCGGAGGCCGGAAAATACCGGCGCCAAATCATCAACCGTTTACTTTCCGATTTGAAAAGCCCGCCAATATGGACAATACGAGGAAGACGTTTTACAAAGAATAGTGCATAAATGCTTACGATTTAATTTCCTTTTAGATTACAAATGGATTCTTCACATAAACTCTCTTTCTCACTCCCTAAGCAACACCGTCTTCCGAAAATTTTGTCAAGTGGCCCTCACTTCTTGTGCTCGATCAGACTTCCCTGTTTCTTCGGTTCATTTTGAAAGCCTCTCACCGACAATAGGAAGCCCCACGTATTGCATTCTGAAAATAAATTCGGATAAATTCACGTAGAGATTTGGAAATTGAAACAAAACAGAAATCGCACGATACTTCTATTCGTGGGTCTCAAATACGGGGTCATTCATTTTCGTTGCCACGGGAGAAATTTAGGATTCATTATCCACCGGGACAAGTTTGAAAAACCGTCCAACATGTAAGAAATAGGAAAATGTTTTACAAAGAGGAATAAATAATTCAATTTTTCTTTGAATTTAATTCACTTTCACATTACAAGTGCACCCTGCTATATTTATGAAACCTCACATAACGTTCTTCCGGGTGAGCGCGTTTAAACTTTAAACAATAGTTTAAAGTTGCCGTCCCTAATCAAACTTCAGCCACAGTTTCACACTTGCTATCGCAATCCGGCAGCTATTCTGGCTTGATCTCAGTTCATTTTGAAAGCCTCTCATCGACAGCTGAAAGCCTCATTTACAGCATTCTGCAAAAATCAGACGAAGTCTCAGTGGAGTTTTGAAAATTTAATGAAAAAGGACAAGTAAATTGCAAAATCTATTCGTGGGACTCGAACAGTTACTTTTCTTTCCAGGGGGTGAAACTCGTGTTTCATACCCCACGGGGCACTGCAGCTTCTGCCCTGATTATGGGTTAAAGAGTAACTGGAAAATAAAGAAGTTGGTGAAAAATGACTCCGTGACGATAAATATCTCTCTATACAGGCAGGGAAAAGAGACTGCGTATGTACGCAACCGCGAATAAAGGGCAGAGGGTCAGGGACCACACGATAACTTTTCGAACCTTTACTAAAAAGGAACACAAAGTTTAGGGACATTAATTATACAGACCCAGAATCAATTATTAAGTTAAAACTTCATTTCTGAAGAAGGGTCTCGACCCGAAACGTCAGCTTTCCTGCTCCTCTGATGCTACTTGGCCCGCTGTGTTCATCCAGCTCGACACCTTGATGTCTCAGATTCTCCAACATCGGCAGTTCCCACTATCTAAGTTAAAACGGTTCAGCTGTTTCAGGGAAATTGTGGGTGGCCCTTAAAAGAGCCTTTGGGTTTTGGATTTGTGTGTGCTTTCAGCACAATGTGGTGTCTCACTTGGAGCTGGTGTACTTGGTCACCGCCTTTGTACCCTCCGACACGGCGTGCTTGGCCAGCTCCCCGGGCAGCAGCAGCCGCACGGCGGTCTGGATCTCCCGGGAGCTGATGGTGCTGCGCTTGTTGTAATGGGCCAGGCGGGAAGCCTCCCCCGCGATACGCTCGAAAATATCGTTGACGAACGAGTTCATGATGCTCATGGCCTTGGAGGAGATGCCGGTGTCGGGGTGAACCTGCTTCATCACTTTGTAAATATAGATGGAATAACTTTCTTTCCTGGATCGTTTCCTTTTCTTGCTGCCTTTCCCTGGCGCTTTCTTAATGATTTTCTTCGCGCCCTTCTTGGAAGTTGGCTGCGCTTTCTTCTCATCTGCCATAATGACAGTCAGTTTCAGATACAGAATGAGGGAAAGTGGGCTCGGAGCTCGCATTTTATAGCCTGACGGCGTCAGCAATGCTAATGAAGGATGGGGGAAATCCTTGTTCCTGATTGGGTAGTTTACAAGAATGTCAGACCATGACATCAGCCTCTCTGTGATTGGTTAGTGTGGGACACAATGTGGATCTGTCAGGATCTGCAACGAAATGTGAAACACAAACCGAAATTTTGTACATGGATCAAACTCCTTGCTCACTCTAAATTTAACTTGTTATTGTCATTTAATGATATTTTGAACACAATACCTGAGAGTTTTTAATTGCGACAATGTATTCATTCTGCTCACAGCAACCTTTTGTGTGTAACATTAGTTTGTTTCATTACTCTGTGATTTCTGCATTACACTGTGAGCAGTATTGTGTTGTTCAGAGATCGAGGTTTAATGAGGGATAGTTTGTCGAATATCTGTCAGTCTCTGCTATATGAAAATGGGAGTGCAGTTATCCATCTGACACTGTCTGTTGATGCAGTGTGGATGATTATTACTCTCTCACAATCTGTTCCTGTCATACAGTCATAAAGATGTACAGCACTCTTGGGTCCACCTCATCCATGGCAACCAGATATCCTAAATTAATCTAGTTCCATTCGCCAGCATTTGGCCCACATCACTCTAAGCCCTTCCTATTCATGTACCCGTCCAGATGCCTTTTAAATGTTGTAGTTGTCCTGACCTCCACCACTTCCTTTGGCAGTTCAATGCAGTTACGCACCACTCTCTGTGTGCAAACATTGCCCACCTTCAGTTCCTTTGAAATCTTGAATTCTCATCCAAAACCCATGCCCTCTAGTTTTGGACTCCACTGACATGCTGACCATGGTGCCCTCTCAGCTAATTCCAATTGCCTGCATTTGGTCTATATCCCTCTCAAACCTTCCCATTCAAATGTTTTTTCAGTGCTGCTATTGCCTCAACAACTTTCTCTGGCAGCTTATTCCACATATGCACCACTCCCTCAGGTCCTTCTTAAATCCCTCTGTTATTTTTGATAACCTTCCTCACTATCAACAATACCTCCTAATTTTGTATCACTGGAAAACATACTAATTATGCCTTGTACATTCACATCAAGATCACTTATCACGCAATCATAGAATCCCTACAGTGTGGAAACAGGCCCCTCGGCCCAACAAGTCCATGCCAACCCTCAGAGCATCTCACCCGGACCAATCTCCCCTATAACCCACCTAACCGACACATCCCTGAACACTACGGGCAAATTCCCAGAGCCAATCCACCGAGACTGCACATCTGTGAACTGTGGAAGGAAAGCGGAGCACCCGGAAGAAACTCATGCAGACACGGGGAGAATGCGCAAACTCCACACAGACAATTGCCTGAGGATGGAATCGAACCCGGGTCCCTGGTGCTGTGAGGCAGCAGTGCTAACCAACGAGATACCGAGCCACCCAACAAAGGTCTCAGCACCAACCCTTGTGGCACACCACGAGTCACAGGCTTCCAGTCCGAGAAACAAGCTTCAACCATCACACTCTGCTTCCTAACCATTGAGCCAATTTTGAATCAAATTAGCTAGCTCTCCCTGGATCCCTTCATTACTAGCCTGCCATGCAGGACCTTGTCAAAGGCCTTACTAAAGTCCATACAGACTACATCCACTGCCCTCCCCTCATCTATCCACTTGATTACCTCTTTGAGAAACTCAAAGATTTGTCAGATGTGCCTTCCCGCACACAAATCCATGCTGACTATCCGTAATCAAACCTTGACTAGCCAAATGTTCATTGATCCTGTCACTCAGTATCCTCTCCAATAACTTGCCTACCGCTGATGTTAGGCTCACTGGGTGGAAGTTCCCTGGATTCTCTTTGCTCCCTTTCTTAAACAATGGAACAACATTAGCCACCCTCCAGTCTTCCAGAACTTCACCAGTGGCTAAAAATGAAGCAAAAATCTCTGCAAGGGTAGGGCCTCTGCAATTTCTTCCCTAGCTTCCCACAAAATCCGAGAATGGACTTGATCAGGCCTCGGGAATTCATCCACCTTAATATGATCTAAGGCTGCAAACACTCCCTCTCTGGTAACATGTATGCAGTCCAAAATATCTCCACTTCCTTCCCTTATTTCCTTAGTATCCATGATTCTCTCCTCAGCGAACACTGAGGAAAAACATTCATTAAAAATCCTCCCCATTTCCTGTGGCTCCACACATGGACCACCATCCTAATCTTTAAGGGTACCTCTTCACTCCCTAGCCAACCTTTTACTCTTAATATAGCGATAGAGACTCTGGGGATTATCTTTAACCTTTTCCACCAGATCCATTTCATGCCATCTTTTTGCTCTTCTGATTTCCCTCTTATGTGTGATCCTACACTTTTTATATTTATCAAGGGATTCACTTGAGCCTGATAGCTTAAACTCAATGTATGCCTTCTTCCCTTTCCTGACCAGACCCTCAATATCTCAGGTCACCTCCTTCTGTCAATTTCTGTCGTCCAAATGTGTGACATTATTAGTCTGTACCTTTCGATCTGTGCTATGTGAATGTGTGGGTGTAGTTCTCAATCTATGCCTGACAGAAAATGCATGAGTGTAGTTACTCGTACATACACGTCCATTCTGTTGTATCAATACAAGAGTGCAGGCATTAGTCTGTACCTGCCAATTTCTGCTCTGTCAATATGTGAGTTTAGTTTCTGTTAGGCACATGTGAGAGTGCAGTTATCACACTGTACCTGGGAGACTTTATTCTGTGACTGTTTGAGTGCAGTTGTCACATTGTACCTGCCAGTTTTTAGTTTGTGAAAATGAGAGTGTGGTTTTAAATCTGTGACTGTCAGTTTCTCTTAAGTGAGTTTGTTTGTACAATTATCAGTCTATTCCTGAAAGATTCTGCCGTGTGAATGTGTAATTGTAGTTATCATTCTGTCCATATCAGTCTTTGCTACGTGAATATATGAGTGTATTTACTAATTTGTCCCCGTCAGTTTCCTGTCATGTGAAAATGGCAGTTTAGTTATCAATCTGTTTACTTTTGTATGTACTCTGTGAATGTTTGGCAGCAGTTATCACTCTGTACCTGTCAGGTTATGCTCGATCAATAAATTTTCAGTCTATCCATGACAGTTTCTGTTATAAAAATGTGAGAGTTTAGTTATCACTCTGTTGCTGCCAGACTCTGCGATGTGAATGTCTGAATGCTTTTATCAGTCTTTCCCTGTCAGTTTCTGTGATGTGTGCATGTGAGTGTGGTTATCAATTTGTACCTGCCATTTTCTGGTACGTGAATATCAGAGTTTGGATATTAAATAGTACCTGTCAGCTTCTGATGTGTCAATATTTGAGTGCACTTATCTGATACGCAAAGGATGGGAGTGTAGTTATCTATCTGTCACTGTCAGTATTTAAGGTGTGAATGTAGTTATCTATCTGTACCTGTTGGTTGCAGCTGACGAGATAACGTGAATGCAGTTACCAATCTATGCTCGTCAGTTTCCACTATGTTAAAATATGAATTTAGTTATCAATCCATGCCTGTGAGTTCCTGCTCTGTGAAGGTATGACTGTCATTATCAGTCTCTACCTCAAAGTTTCTGCTATGTGAATATGTGACTTTAGTTATCGATTTGTACCTGTCAGTTTGTCATGTGAATGTGTGATTGGTATCATCAATGTGCCCCTGTTAGTTTCTGTAATTCAAATGTGACTGTAGTTATTAACCTGACCCCTTCAGTTTCTGCTATGTTAATATGGGAGTGTGGTTATCCATCTATGCCTGTCAGTTCCTACTATGTAAATGTATGGCTGTCATCATCAGTCTTTACCTGTCAGTCTCTGTGACATAAATGAGAGTTTAGTAATTGATCTGTACCTGACAATTTCTGTCAGGTTTATGCGTGAGTGTCAGTTAATATTCTACGAAACTGGGAGTGTTATTATCAATTTGTTCCTGTCAGTCTCTGAAAAGGTAATACGGGAGTGCAGTCATCAATCTTTCTCAGACAGTCAATGCTATCTGAATGTGTGTGTGTGTATTTATCAGTCTGTTCCTATCAGATTCTGCACTGGGAATATGACAGTGCAGTTGTTAGTCAGTACCTGTTACTTCCTGCTCCGTGAATGTTTGTGTAATTATCATTCTCTCCCTGCCCGTTTCTGCTATGTGATTGTGAGGTAATATCAATCTGAATGTGTCAGTTTTTGTTTTAAGCTCTGTGACTGTGAGTGTCATTTTCAGTCTCTATAGTTTCTGCTATTACAATATTTGAGTTTAGTTATCGATCTGATGTTAGCTTCTGCCAGCTGACTATTTGAGCACAGTTATCAATCTGTAACTGACACTTTCTGATATGCAAGTGTGATAGTGTACTTCTCTGCCTGTTCCTGTAGGTATGTGCAATGTGAATAAGGGAGTGTAGTTATCGGTCTGTCTCAGTCAAGTTTCTGTCATGTCAACTTGTGAGTGTCATGAATCTGTCCCTGCAAGTTACTGTAATATGCATGTGTGACTGTAGTTAACAACCTGACCCTGTCATTTTCTGCGGTGAGAAGATGAATATAGTTATCAATCTATGCATGTCAGTTTCTGCAATGTCAGTCTGTGAGTTTAGTTATCAATTTATCCCTGGTGTTTTCTACTCAATCAATGTGTGTAGTTATCAAACTGAACCTGTCAGTTTATGCTGTGTGAAACAGAGAGTGTTATTATCAGTCTATTCCTGACAGTTTCTGCTGTGTGAATATGAGAGCGTGGTATCTATCTGGACCTTTCAGTTTCTGCTCTGTGAATGTGTGAGTGTAGTTGTCAACCTAGTCCTCACAGTTTGTGTTATGTGAATAAATGCAGTTATCTATCTGACTCGGTTATGTGAATGTATGAGTGCCATCATCAATCTGTACCTGTCAGTTAAAGCAATTGGAATGAGAGAGTGTCGTTATCACCCTGTACCTGTCAGTTTGTCAGACTTGAATAAGGGAGTGTTGTTATCCATTGACGCCTGTCAGTTTCTGTAACATGAATGAACAAGTGCCATTATCAGTCCATACTATTCACTTTCTGCTGTGTGAAGATGTGAGTTCATTCTCAGATTCTACCAGTCAGTTTCTGCTATGTTAATATGAGAATCTGTACCTATCAGTTTCTGTGAGATGAATTTGCGAGTGCAGTTTTCAATATGTAACAGTGAGGTTCTGCTCTGTGAATACTTGAGTATAATCATATATCAATACCTGTCAGTTTATGCTATGTGAAACTGAGAGTGTTATCATCAACCTGTTCCTGTCAGTTTCTGCTATCTGGGTACCTGAGTATAGATATCATTCTCTTTCAATCAGTTTCTACTCAGTGAATATGTTTCTGAAATTGTCAGTCTATCCATGACACTGTTTTGTTGTGTGAATGTTTAGTTACCAATTAGTTATCAATTTAGTTATCTGTCAGTTTCAGTTACGAGAGTCTGAGAGTGTAGTTATTACAGTTTTTAATACATACTAATCAGGTACTCAACTACAATAGCAATCATCCCAGTACCCACTAATGGAGCTGCATCAAAACACTGTTCAAGTGAGCCACAACACACTGCAGCACCCGAAGCTGTGTAAAGCCAAGGAGGAACACCAATACAGTGTCTATAGAAACGACGGTTACCTGAAAAGCGTAGTCCGTCGATACCTACACAACAGACGACAAGTGGATAACACAGCACGTCCAGAGACAATAGTCACCCGACCATACATGAAAAACATATCAGAAATGACCACCATATTACCCCGATCCAACAACCACAACTGACAGAACCAACGTTATTTACAAGATATCATGCAAAGACGCCAAAAACATTACAAAGGCCAAACTGGCAGGAAATTAGCCATCAGGATTCGTAAACACCAAGTAGCTACCAAGAGACATGACCAACTATCACTCATCTCAATGCACATGGACAAAGAGGGACAGTAATTTGACTGGGACAACATAGTCATCCTCGGACAAGCCAACCAAAGACATGCATGAGAATTCCCGGAGGCCTGACATTCAAACTGGAATGCGATTAACAAATACGTAGAGCAGGACCCCATATACCAAGCATTAAGAAACAAATCAGGAAGTGATGCCACCCACCCCAGCAAACTGCAGCACATAGACTGCAAGCAGGACAGAACAGCAATGCATCATCAGAGGTGCACTGAAGGTATTATGTAGTATGGTGACAAAATGTCTGTAAACAAATAACAACAAGCTCGGCGAGCAAGTCAACAACAGCATAGTTATTAATCTGACCCCGACAGTTCCTGCATTGCAAGTGTGACAGCAATTATCAATGTGTACCTGTAAGTTTCTGCCAACTGAGTGCCACTGTTCTCAATCTCTAAGTTTCTGCTTGGTGATCATGTGAGTGCAGTTATCAAAAAGGACCTGTCAGATTCTGCTCTGTGAATGAGAGTAGTTATCAAACTGTACCTGTCAGTTTATGCCATGTGTAACCAGGAAGGCTGACTCCAGCATCTGCAGTTCTTGCTGTCTGCAAGGTTACAACCAAACTCTTCCTGTCAATTTCTTCTATATGGATATGTGCACGTCCAGAAACCTGTACCTATCAGTACCTTACAATTTGCAAGTAAAGTTATCAATACGTACCTGTGAGAATCTACTTTGTGAATATTTGAGTATAGTTATCAAACTGTAACCGTCAGTATTTTTTAAATCTGTGGATATGTGATTGCAGTTACAAATCTGTACCTGTCACTTTATGCTCTGTGAAATTGGGAGTTGTCATCAATATGTACCTGCCAGTTTCTGCTATGTGGATATGTGAGCGTAGTTATCGTTCAGTTGCTGTCCGTTTGCTATGTGAATGTGAGTGTTGTATACTAACGTGTGCATACCAGTTTCTATGATGTGAATATGTGAATGTCTTTATCAATCTTTACCTGTCAGTTTCTGCAATGTCAATATGTGAGTCTCATCATCATTTTTTTTGTCTGCATTTGCAATACAAATGAGTGAGGTTAGGTATCAATCCATACTGGTCACTTTCTACTTGTAAAAGCGGCTTAATTGTCAGCAGCCAGTAATATTTTCGGTGGAGGTGTGATTCATTATGTGATAGTTGTTATTAGAGTAATTTTATGTAGATTTCTTTCAGTTGCTGAGCGTATACTGTCAGTCTATCCATCTTCAAAAATGGTGTAAATGTCAATGCGTGATGAATGCTGAAATTTGTTGGAACTGGGTATTTTGAATGGAGAGAAAAGAAAAATAAAGTTTCATTTCCTCCAACTTATCTGTTGGAAATTTAGCTCATTGTGTGTCTAATTCAATCTGCTCTGTGACTGTGAAAGGATGTTCTCTGCTCTGACAGTGGGAACATACCTGCTGTTTGTCAGAAGGATCTGGTCACACTTGGCTTTGTACTGGAGAAATGTTACTTTGTCTTGTTCCTTCAAGTGTTTTTCTGGAGGAAGACAGAAGAGATAGCTCCTGTAAACTAACATCAGTTGGGTTTGACAATGTTTAACTGTTCAACACAACATTTAGTTAATAATCATTTGGATATTTTATTATCATCCAGGAATTCTAACATAACTATGGGTCTGATTCCAATCTTGCCCTGAGCTGCTCCTTGTCTGATCATTTTTAAAAACTTTAACACCATTTGAGTGAGGTCCCAAATGTAAACGATACCTGTACAACTCCATGACTGGAAGTACCTAATGCAAGCTTGTCTGTGGATATGAGTTTAGTTATTGATCTATTCATGTTAGTTCCTACTTGTTGAATGTGTCAGTGTAGTTATCAATGTGTCCCTCTAAATCTTTGGTAAATTATTTATGTATTACACAGCAGAGACTAACAGGGACAGAATGATATAGAACGTTAGATCAACTTAAATGATACAGCACAGAAAGTGGCCATTTGGCTCATCATGTCCATGCTGACCCGAACACCACCAGATGGCCATCATAATCCCATCTTCCTGCACACATCCCATAGCCCTGCAGCTTACAGAACTTAAGGTGGAGGTCCAGGTATGTTCTTACAAGAGTTTAGAATCTCTGCCTCCAGCACCAACTCAGGCAGCGTATTTGAGATAAGCACCCTCTCACAAAAATGGTTTTCCTCCCATCATCTCTCATCATAATGCCACTTCACTTTAATCTATAACCTATGGTTTTTAAACTCTCTGTCAAGGGAAACAGGTTCCACTGACTACTCTATCTCTCCCCATCCCAACTTCACATGCCTCAATCATGGCACTCTCAGCTTTCACTGTTCAAAGGAATACAGCCCCAACCTCTACAATCACTCTTCATAGCTACAACTCTCCAGCCCTGGCAACATTCTAGTAAAACTTCTCTGCACTCTCTCCAGAGCAATAACATCCTTCCTGTAATGTGGTGACCAGAGCGGCACACAATACTTCAATTCCAGCCTCACTAGTGTCTTATGCAGTTTCATTGTTATACCCCGACTTTTGTGTTCTATACCTCTGCCAAAGAAGGACAGCATTCTATATACTTTGTTTAACAACCTTATCCACCTGTACTGCTATTTTCATAGTCCGGTACACTTGCACACCAAGACCACTTGCTTTATCTACAATCTCCCCACCGCCTCATGTCTTCCTTTTTATTGTGGTTTCACCTCCTGAAATGCATTACCTCACACTTATCAGAGTTGAACTCCATGTACCACTTATCTGCCCCTTCCACCAAACCATCTATATCATTTCGGAGCGGATAGCTATCCTCTACACTATCCACTACAATGTCAATTTTTGTGTTGTCTGCAAGTTTCCCAAATGTATCCCCCATGTTCAAGTCCAAATTGTTACCATATAACATAAACAGCAGAGGTCCCAATACCGAGCTGTGTGGAACACCACTTGAAACAGCCTTCTATTCACAAGGGCAGCCATCAACCATTACCATCTGATTCCTGTTGCTAAGCCAACTTTGCTTCCAATTTAACACATTGCACTGTATCCTATGAGCTTTTCCATTTCTGATTCATCTGCCATGTGGTATTTTGTCAAATGTCTTACTAAAATCCATGTCGTTAACATCTATTACACTAGCCTCACACATTCACGTAGCATTCACCGACAGGTATTGATTGATAACTAAAATCACACATCCACACGTGTAAACTGATAGGGACTGATTGATCAATGCAACTGCATCTTCACACAGCAATCAGTGTCTGTTTCTGCTGTATAGATATGTGAGTTTTGTTATTAATCTGTTTATGATAATGTATGAACATGCAACGTGAATATTTGAGTGCAAATTTCAACCTGTATCTGTTGTTTCTGCTCTGTGAACCTGAGAATGTAGTTATTCATCTGCAACTATCAATTTCTGCAATGTGAATAGAAAAATGTAGTTTTGAATTTGTAACTCTCAGTTTCCTCTACGTGAATATGTTATTGATTTTTACCTGTCGTTCCTGGCTATGTGCATATATGGACATTGTTATCAATCTGTCCCTGTCATTATCTGCAGTGTGAATGTTTAAGTGCATTTATAAACGTTTTCCAGTCAGTTTCTGTGTCGTGAATACGGAAATATAATTATTAATTTCTCCCTGTCAGATTCTGCTCTGTGAATATGAGTGCATAGTTATTCCATGTTTATGCCATGTGAGGCTTGGGAGTGTTACTGTGAGTCTCTTCCGATCAGTTTCTGCTTTGTGAATATGAGTATAGTAATATCGTCAAAGAGTCATACAGCTGGGAAACAGACCTTTGTCCAACAGTCCATGCTGACCACAGGTACCAAATTCAATTTTTCTTTTCAGCATCCACCTGTTGTATGAGAGAGAGTTTTCTAATGTGCTGCCAATCTGAATTAAAGATGGGTATTGGTCTAAGTCACACTGTCCTTTTCTAAATGTCTGCTTGTGTTTCTAGTTCTGCATGTACGGTCTGATACCCTTTATGAGGTGGGATTAATGTATTATAAATTAGTTTTTCTTACATTAAGAAAGTGTGGACGTGCTTCTGCTTTAGTTAGTCTCTCACCGAGATTGTAAGTGCGGTTATAGTTAGTTTTCATCAGCATCGGGCTGACGGTCAGCATAGGATCTATTCAGTCTCTGGTATTGTGTGTCAATGTGTTCCTCATGCTTTGTGATCATATTTCACATGAGTACATGAATGTCATGTTATGCTGAACATGTTACTTGTAGGAACTGCTGACATTCTTTTGTTGTTTAAATTTCTGCTGCTCAACATGAATGAGATTTTACCCAATGCCATATGAATCAGATCTTATAAATGAAACAAGATAATTTAATACCTTTTCCAGTCTCTGACACTGTAGATGCAGTTTGCTTAACATCCACAATATTAAGTCTCTATACGATTTATGATTATAAGTTTGATCAGTCTCATCGGAATGTGTATTTCAAATTTATTCCTCCTGTAACAAGATCATTATATGAGCATTTCTTCAAACTATTTCCAATAATCTCTGGTTGTCTGTTTGTATCTGTATCTGTTCGTGACACTATTTGATTTCTTTTTTGGTCCATTAAACAACAACATCTTTATTCAGTACTTTTGTACGAGATGTATGCTGCTTTTTAAATTTGTACCAATTTGGAAGCAAATTAAATTGCAATGTTTGTTTCATCTTCACCTTGGCCTAAATGTATTTCCTTCAGTTTCTACAAAGGAAATTGATACATTAGTTATGTGTCCAAACCTAAGACATGGTGAGATATTTGGAGGCATATTTAATCTGGATTTCAATTTATTTCTTAGGCTGTTCAGTAGAATTCATCGTTGATCATGCAATAGCTTCAGTAATTTCTAATGTAGTGAACAAGACTAATTTACTTTATGCCGAGATGATACCTCATACTTAATCCTAAAGGAAAGCACTCACAAAATGGGATTGAAGTACTTCACTCTCACCCAGGCCTGTTAACGCTTAATGAAAGGCTAGCTCTCCCAACTGTGTGATCTTTAAGAGTAATGACATTTTTTTTTTGTTTTTGCCTGGGTATCTACTAACCTGGCAGCATCTCTGTGCTTTGTAAGATATTCTGTTCTCACTGTGTATTGGCACAATCTCACTGCACTATTTGTTGTATCAGAAAATCAGTTTCCTTCAAGTCCTTAATTGCATGAATAAGGAGACTAACTGGTGCAGCCTATTTCGTCTTCTTTGTGAATGCACAATTAGTTTTGTTTCTTCCATTCACTTGTACAATTTATGCATTTGGGAAGTACTTCTCTACCCATCGATATGTGCTGTTCAATGGAATTGCACGTTTCAGTCTATTGTCCTTTAAAATTTAGCTCATATGTGACAGGCTGTCAACAGAGAACGGCCAGATTATTTTGTGAAGAACTTGGAAACTAAAATTTAACACTGAGGACTGGGGCTGCTCTCTGTTGTGTGAATGCCCAGATTTTATATAGAAAGATGTTTTTGAAAAGAGCCGCTGTTATGAAACATGACAAATACATTTAATTGATCCTATTTCCATCTTCCTGTATTGCATTACTGAGCAGTTTAAATATTTCTTGTAAAGTGGAGAGCCAGTAACCACAATGGGAGAGGAGAGAGTTTTCGGTTCATCTCTCCTGTCGCAAATGGGAAAAAGCCTATGTTCTTCAGTTGTTTGTGCCTACAGCATTTATAAGCAATTGAAAATGCAAGACTTTGCAACAGAAAGAAGTCTGCGCTTTTCTTCAGAGTTGAGGAGGGAAAAGCAATGGACCTTTGTAACGGATACATTGCAGAGTCTAACCAGCAGTGGTGATATCAAAAGATATTTACAGGATGATATTAGCATTGTTCAACATTGCATAGCGACATAAGTTTTGGAATACTGCTAAAGTAAAGATGTTAACTTAATATGGTATTGCCAAAGGGAAAGTGAAATGAACAAATCAACTGCATTGCAGTTGACTGACCACAATGTTGCTTGTGCAGGAAAGAAAATTGGCTTATTTACTTAACTTTGTTTCATGGCGCGGACATTACCCTGCTCTGTGTTGAAATTTTGTTTTCTGTCATGCAGTGGACAAAACTGGAATAGTCAAACTAAATTTACTGAAGAATAAATACTGTTGAACTCTCCTTGCAAAATATAAATGAGAATGGTCCTATTATTGTATTGCTTGTTTGGAAAAATGGCATGTAGTTTTCTTATGTTTTATGTAATAATTCATTTGGAGTGTCAAGAGAAACACAGGGCTATTTGAACAAAATTTAAGCTAATTTGAAAACAAAACGTCCATGATTATAAAGTCCTCTTCCTGAGGATAGAATAAAAAAAAATCTATTCCTGCTCAGTGAAGAAATTGAGAACTATCTGGTGATAAAGGTGGGGATGGTAGTTCCTCTGCCACCATGATACATTTATGGAAATTGAATACTGACTGAATGAGTGTAGAATTGTTGGCTGGTTATTTCTTAACAGTGCAGACTCGATGAGAGA